GCTTGTTCCTTTAATCCTTTGCCTTGAGGATCGGCTTAAACTTGAAACTGCCTCAGAAGCGTTTGCACCAATGACATGGTCTTCTTCTCTTCGCCTCATTAGAAGCGAAGGATTGCTTATTAAATTTTGGGTCTGCCTATTTGCATCTTTCCAATGTTCATAATGAAGAGAAGGTTGCTTCACGGCCAAATCCAACTAAGGAGCATTAACATTTTAATTAGAGCATAATTTTGTAGTTATATGCTATTTAAGATCTATGTGCAAAAAAAGTATACATAAGATCTTCCAAGCAGAGAGAATAAACTAAAGAGCTCTTAAAGTTGACCCAAAAGGTGAGGGGTTCTCTTCTCTAAAGGTTTTTCAAATCTGAAAGGAGGAATGATTGAGTTTAATTTTTTCAATAGACCTTCTTTTTTGATAATGTAGCTGCAACGAAATTCAAGTGCAGGAAACAATACAATAATGATATAACTTACACCTTTTGTCTCTGTCCATTAGAGGTATTTTTTCACATACTGGACCTGCAAATATGGCTTTTGTCTAAGTCTCGCACAAATCTTCCTCCTTCAATAATCCTGGTAACTAATCACACATGAAATATTTTCACCATTAAAGCTACTATAAATTTGGAGGAGAAAATAACATCATTTTTAGCTAAAAGTCAGAGAATTTAGTTAGTTTAGACATATTGTCAAGCACCTTGGCTGCATCAAGGTTCATCCTTTTTTATAAGAATTTTCTGAGGTTGTTCTCATGCGCTAAGCGATATTGCAAGTGCACCCAAGTTAAAAATTAACATAGACAAACTGAACATCAAACAAAAGGAACAAATATTTTTGCATGCAAGAGGTTGAATTTTTCCGACAGATATCAAAATGTAAATGACCCAAAATTCTCATTTTCCAATCAATAACTACAAATATCAAACCTGAGGAACATAGGAGGAGCGTATAGAGCAGGGATCAGGGATGAGATCAGTGAACCCGACCTAGTAGTCCCACTAACAACATAACCTCGATTTTGTTACAATTCAACATTTAACACTGTTGTTGACATATCGCTGAGCATTCTCCAAAATAGTTTTGCAGGACAAAAAGATTCAACATTAGCTAAGAAATCAACTCCAATAAACAAAAAGAGAGAGAGATAAAGAATAGAGAAATTGGAAGGTGAATGAGATGGTGATTTGGATGTTCAGCACTCTAGATGGAAGAAAGGACTGCTCTACTGAAAAGGGCCCAAATAAATCGACACGTGTAATATATGTTTGCAACTTAAATCAACAAGGACATAAATGTAATTGTAATTCAAAACGTACACACAAACTATATTGTTGTACAACTCAGAGCAAATTAGAGCTACGAACATACCCTTGGTCGTCTTATAAACGTCCACTTATTATACAGTTAAATACTGCAGAGGTGAACGATCCGATCCCATAAGAATATGATACTCCCGAAGCGAACGGCTCGATCTCATAAGAGTATAATACTACCGAGGAGAACGGCCCGATCCCATAAGAGTGTGTTACAATATCTTGTCGAGTTGAAGGATTCGATCCCATAAGAGTGTGTTACAATATCCTGCCGAGGCGAACGGCCCAATCCAATTAGAATAAGAAGCTTTAATGGGTCCTTGACCCCACTCACGAATATACGTGTGAGTTATGAAATTTAAAGAAAAGCTTTGTCAAATCTCTTACAATAGCGAGTCCATCACTCTACGCAAGCCTAGTCTCAGGCCGTAAATAACGGAATTAAACAGGCAAGAATAACTCAAATAGTAAAATTAAAGCATGCCGTAAACCTAGTCTACCCAGACATAATCAGGAATTCTAGCATACGCACGAACACTCATCACCTCATACGTACGTAGTTCCCACAACACGTAACACATAAGAATATAACACATATGGGGTAAATTCCCCCTCACAAGGTTAGACAGAAGACTTACCTCACTCTCAAGTTCCATAATCGGCTCAAATGCCTCTCTAACTCCTTGACTCAAAGCCAAACGATCCAAAACTAGTCAAAGAACGTGCAAATCAATCAAAATACACTCCCATGATTACTATTTAACAATTTATAATAATTCCCAACTACGTTCGAAAAGTCAACAAGGTCAACTCTCAGGCCCACGTGCCCGAATTTTGAATTTTTTTAAGATAAATATTATCCATAACATTAAGAACTCAAATATATAATTTGTTGCTAATTCGATGTCCAACATCGTGGTTAAAATCCAAATTATCAATTTTACGTTTTTCCCTTAAATTTTCCTACTTTCCATGTTAAAATCTATATAAAAACCAAGCATTTAACTTGTAATAGGTGAGAATCATTTACCTCGTGTTGCTCGATGAAAATCCCCTCAAAATAGCTCCTCAAATTCGGCGCTCCAAGAAGCTGCATCTGAGTCATCGCAGGTGCGGTCCAAACATCGCTTTTGTGAACCTTCCCCACGCACCCCTCTCCCGCTTCTGCATTGAGTAGTCCGCTTCAGCGACTCCGCACATGTGCTCAATCTGCAGGTGCGGTCGCACCAGTAATTGGCCAAAATCAACATTTCCTCAATTTCAAATTTCGATTCGTTTTTAATTTCTAACCCAAGGCCTCTAGAACCCTATCCAAACATACCAACGCATCCTGAAAAATGACACGAACTTAGTCGAAACCTCAAATCACGTCAAACAATATCAAAACTACGAATCGACGATCGAAACCTTTCTTTAAACTTTTAAACATCACCTAACGCGTCCAAATTGCACTTAAACATTCCGGAATAACGCCAAACTTTACGTGCAAGTCACAAATAACGATATGAACCGATTCCAAGGCTCGGAACCTCTAATAGACATCGACAACATCAAAATTCACTTCAAATCAAACTTAAGAAATCCTTGAACTTTAAAAATGCTAACCTTCCATAATAAGCGCAAAAATATTTCCGGACCACCCGATACTCAACCCGAACATACGCCAAAGTCCTAAATCATCATACGAATCTATTGGAACCTTCGAATCTTGTTTCCAAGGTTATTTGCTCAAAATTCAAATCTTGGTCAACTTTTCCAACTTAAAGCTTCAGAATTGAGAATTTTCCTTTTGAAACGACTCCGAACTTCCCGAAATTAAATTCCGACCACACGTACAAGTTATAAAACATGAAGTGAGATACTCGAGGCCTCAAACCGCCGAACGACGTCCTAAAGCTCAAAATAACCGGCCGGATCGTTACATTTTCCCTCACTTAAACATATGTTTATCCTCGAACGTGCCCAGAACTGTTCCGGAGTTGTCTTAAAATCACTGTTCAACACCTTGTGCAGCTACCCGTGCCACCACAACCCAAGTGAATACATTTGCTCGAGCCAGACTGAAGATCCTCCCTTTTATTTAGTCAATAAGCCTTAGGACAAAATTCCAACACCCCGAGTTCTCCACAATACCCAATTCTAACATACGAACATCGTATCAATCTCCACACGCTAAATCCACACATGATCATGCACCCATCTTGACATCACACAATGCACAGCATAACTCATTTTCCCATGATAACCTCCTCCAAACACAATATCTGCAAATTCACCGACCCAATGCCCGTAGTATACCTTTTGACACATATAAATCCGATATCAACCCTCACAATACTGCAACGATGAAAGAGATGCGCAGGAACGCAAAATCACCCGTCAAATAAATAACTTACGGAGTTTCATCGCTTGACAAGAACCGTTACCTCATTTGGAACTTAATAGTGACATCTTCTCTTTATTAGACCTTACATAAATCTAATCACACTGATTTCAGGTCCAATACCCTCATCTCACTCAGTACAAGTTGTTCAGGCAATAAGCCACCTCAAACACTAACTAAAATCTTACATGATAATATCAATGCGCCAACAAGCTACAACTCAAATATGACACATAAGGAAGAACGAACTCTGTAAAAAAACTATACGTCTCACGTAACGAACAAAACAGCCGAACAAATGCTATGAACCTTTCTCAGAGAATGAGAAACGTAATACACAGAAATGAGCATAGGGAATCGTACTCAACATCTCATTGTTGCAGCGTACAACCTGATCCACATATGATACCATTGTGGCATGCAATCCGATCCACACATGATATCATTGTGATGTGAAACCCGATCTACACATGATACCGTTACGGCGTGCAACCAGATCCAATCAATATACCTGTGGCGGCGTGCCACCCGATCCACACATAACAATAAATAAGAAAATACCTATCAAGCCATAATAATTATACCTACAAAATATCCGAGTATCGGCCACAGGCCCGCCAAGTGCAAAAACACAACCCTGGGGAGATGGATAATATCATGCGCTACAAAAATCGAGCTCAACTAAGGTGCAATAATGACAAGTTACACCAGACCACCACACACGTGCGAATAATCAAGTTTTCTCACAACTCACATGACATAATATAGTATTACAGAGAATAGCTATGATAGAGATACCATCCAACATCCGAAGACTCCTCCATAAGTAGTGCTATGCAGAATGAACACATCTGACACTACAACAAATTTGACCTAAGGCCACACTTGTATAGACAATACTTGAAAAGTTTTGCCAAAAGTATCTGTGGGGACGCTTTATCAGGGGTAGCCTTTGTCAAGCACTTTTGGATACGGATTTTAGGCAACACTTATGAAGCGTGCCTTTTAATAGTAAACACTACATTTTTCAAGTGTTGTCAAATAATAAAATAACTGGCTACGCTTAGTCAAATATAATACGACATTTACGAGGGGTGATAATTTAACTTTGTATAAGCTATCCCATATGTGTGCTATAATAATTCCTTAAAAATTCCCGCTGAGACTTTTCCCCTAAATCCTTTCCCTTCCTAAATCTTTTCTGCCACCAAAAAATAATTATGCCAAAAAATATCCCACTAAGTTAACTTTACCCAAATTATTCCCGTGCTTCTTCTTCCCTAAAACAAGGTTCTTGTCATCTAGTTAAGTAGATTAGGGTAGATTTTGTGAAAATTGCTGATTTAGATGCTTAATTTAGTTTAGTTGCTCATCTCAAAAGTCAAAACCCTCCTTATTTAGGTTTCAATTGGGAAGTTCGTTTGCTTAGGGTTACAACTGGTAAAAACTTGTAAGTTTTCTATGAAATTTTTTCTTTCAGTTTAATAACTTCTTTCCATTCATTGTTAAAAATACTTCTGACCAAAAACGTTGGCCAAACTTTGTATTCTTGTTCTTTCTTCTTTATAAATGTGGTTATTGCATCTGGTTTACGGCCCAGATTAGTTATGACAAGTTTATGTCATTTATCTTTAAAACGTTTACCTATGTCTAAGAAAACAGATAGGTCATGAAAACGAGTATGTGGCAGCAAATAATCCTTGATCTTTGAAAATATCTTTTACAATTTGTTCAACTTTTACTAAATTTGTCCACCTGAATACCTAGTATTTAAACTTAAACATAGAGTATTAGCATAGTCTGGATTCTGGATTTATTTGATATATCGATGTCGTGATGATACTTGTGAAGTTAGAAAACTGCCCAACAAAGAAAAAAGAGAAAAATAAAAAAATTATCATGAGACAAGAATCAGGGGCATAAATGAATTGTGAAAGTCAATAAATGAGATCAATTATGAGAGCTCTAGTGCTACTGTTGTACTTTAAAAAGAATAAAAAATATTCTTAAAAAGTGATTTAAAATTGATGATAGACCCTTGTGGTCCGACACTTCCCGCATATAGCGAGAGCTTAGTACACCGGACTGCCCTTTTGTTTATGCTTGATAAATTGAAATTCTCTTACACTATAATCAACCGAGTTTTCCAATTAAATCTCCCCAGTTATTAGTGGCCCTGGTGCATGTGTAATGCTTCTAAATGTATGGAATATTAATTTCACGACCCTAAACTCGGACCCGATCGTGATGGCGCCTCTCGTGAGGACAAAGCCAACTGACACACTCCCGATTCATTTTTAAGAAATTAAGTAATAAAACTAAGTCTTTAACATAATAATAATCCCAAAATAAGCAGTGAACAGTACAATTTGCGGAAATATAACCAATACAGTCCGACATCGGGGTGTTAACAGTCATGAGCATCTATCATAAACTATAAGTCTGAAAGGCTCTACATAACTAATACATAACAAAAACAGAAGAAAATAAGATAAAGGGAGAAGCACTGGGCTGCGAACACCGAGCAGCTACCTAGTGGATCTCCAGAATCTGCTGGAAGCTCTCTCAACCCTCGTAAGCAGGACCTGATTCGCCTAAATCTGCACACGGGGTGCAGGGAGTAAAGTGAGTACTCCAACTCAGTGAGTAATAATAATAAATAAAGACTGAGCGATAAGAAATTACGTAAAAGCACATCAACATACTATAAAGAAACAGTATAAAACCAATAAAAACATTGAAACAGTGAAAATATGTAAAAGCATTTAGTTCAGAAAAAGTTTCTTTAAAACACCTTTTTAACAGTTAAACAAATAAATGAAAGGTAGCTAGAACAAATAAACAAATAAAAATCCGCCCCTCGGGCACAAAGTCAACAGAATCCGCCCCTCGGGCAATATCATGGAACAATACCAGCTCCTCGAGCTATATCTCATATCAGAATGGGTACCCGCGCTCACTGGGGGTGTGCAGACTCCAGGAAGAGCCCCTTACGGCCGAAGCGCAATACCAAGCCATCTCATGGCATAATTAGTAGGCTATCGGCCTCATATCAACAAGCCACCTCGTGGCGCACAATCTCAGGCCTTCGGCCTCATAATCATAAATCGGTGTATCCTTACAACACAGACCCTCGGTCTTACTCAGTCAGAATCACATAAGTCGCTCGGGCAACAGTAAAACATGATGCTCAGCCCAAATTATTAGTAAAATATCATTTTAAGTGTTGAAACAGAGTAAACATGACTGAGTTATGAAAATAGTAGAATATAGCATGATAGAGTACAAGTATAAAATCAAAACAGTAGGGAAATATCAGTAAAAATCCCCTAAGGGTCCAAATAGTTGGCACGAGGCCCAAATATTGCATTCAGCCTAAAACATGATGATAGCAAATAGTTTTCAGTCAAATACGCGGTAAAACAGTCATTCGGGATAGACTAAGTCACAATCCCTAATAGTGCACGACCCCACGCTCATCATTTAGCGTGTGCGTCACCTCAATATAGCACAACGATGTGCAATCCGGGGTTTCATACCCTCAGGACAACATTAACAATCATTACTCACCTCTACCCGGTCCAAATCTCTAGCTCGCGAAGCCTTTGCTCCTCGAATCGGCCTCCAGATGCTCCAAATCTAACCAAAATCAGTGTAAAACCATCAAAATATGCTAAGGGAACAAAGCCCACTCGAAAGAAATCAAATTACAACACAAATTTCGAGATTGGCCAAACCCAATCCCCGGGCCCACGTCTCGAATTTCGACAAAATTTACATCAATAGACTCATTATCACTCCCCGGGTTCATTCATATCAAAAGCATCAAAATTCAACCACAAACAACCCCTCAAATCCCAAATTCTAGGTCTCCAATTACAAGCTTTAGTGCTTCAATATTAGGCTTAAATTTCATGATTAATTAGGAAGAAATCACATAAGAATTGAATATTAAGTCCGTAAATCGTACCTCCACGTGCTTCCCCTTGAATCCATCTTCAATCCTCTTCAAAAAGCTCCAAAATCGCTCAAAAATGGTAAAAGTTAGCCCCAAAATCGCGGACCAAATGGCTATTTAAATATTCTGCCTAGGCATCCAATCCTTCTTCGCAAACGTGGTCAAAGCCTCACGTTCACGAAGCACAAACTCAGTTTGACCAAATTTCCTCTTACACGAACGCGACCAGTCCCTCGCAAACGTGATGACTCCTCAGCTCCACCTTCACGAACACGCTCCTCCTCTCGCGAACGCGATGCCCAATAGCCCAGCCCTTTGCGAACATGGGACCTCCCTCGCGAACGCGAAGACCAAAACTCCGAGCTCACCTGCTAACCCTTCACAAACGCGAGGCCCCACTTACGAATGCGAAGGACAAATATCTGCAACACTGAACAACAGGTTTCTGCAGTTTTTCACAACTTGAAATGGTCCGTTGACCACCCAATACTCACCCGAGGCCCCCGGGACCTCAACCAAACATGCAAACATATTCCAGAACATCATTCAAACTTGTTCCAATCTTCGGAATGCTCAAAACAACATCAAAACACCAAATTCGCATCGGATTCAAGCCTAAGAATTTCAAAATCTTCTAAATTACGCTTTTGATCAAAAAGTCTACCAAACCACGTCCGAATGACCTAAAATTTTGCACACACATCCCAAATGACACAACGGAACTACTTCCACTCCCAGAATTCCATTCTGACCCCTATATCAAAATCTTACCTATCAACCGGAAAACGTCAAAATTCCAATTTCGCCAATTCAAGCCTAAATCTACTCTGGACCTCTAAAATACATTTCGATCATGCTCCTAAGTCTAAATCACCTCCCAAAGCTATGCGAACCATCAGAACTCACATCCTAGTCTTCTAACACATAAGTCAATATCCGGTTGACTTTTCAAACTTAAGCTTCCTCAAAAGAGACTAAATGTCTCAAACCTTACCAAAACATTTTCGAACCCGAACCAACCAACCCGATCACACATAAAACCGATAAACCAAGCAATAAAAAGCAAAAATAGGGGAAACGGAGTGGTAACTCATGAGACGACTGGCCGAGTCGTCACAATTAACTGCATTTTGTCTTTGTTGTTCAGGTCATTGTCATCTTTTCTTTCCTCAGTACATGCTTATTTGTTATTTCTTGGCCACATGTGAAGTCAACGATAATTGAACTGTCCAATTGACAACAACAATAATCTAGCTTCTGATTGGTATGCCTTTTCTTACTTGCATGTCCTCTAGAACTATGATTCATGTTAATGAACTGAATTCTGTAGGAGTCGATCTTTTTATCCATTCTTATAGTCTAAAAGAATGTTATTCCTAATTGAAATGTTAACTTCTAGCTTATTCAAATTTTTTGATGCTCTGACCATAAGCTTCTTTCTACTATCTGCATTCCGCTTTCTCCTCGAAAATTAAAAAGATGCATATTCTTTTAATATTGTAGGGCAAGAAATAACTAGATAAAGATCATGAAATGGAGTTCCTGTTTCAAGTTGTAACCTTTGTTCTCTTATTGCTGATTTTGTAAGGATATGCTTTATAGATGGATTTACAAGACCATAGTCTCGTTGGCTTGTCGCCTTCATTCTGTTTGGCCCTTCCGACTCTACAATCGAATCTTTATAGTTGTCTTGTTTCTAGTATATTAACTCCCAATGGAAACTCTTAATATAGTAATGCAGAATTACATAAAATATCATTATAATATGTTGCGGTGCTGACAATTGGAATGTGTATTTGATGTCTCTGTTGTGCTCGTCCGTTTGTAGATTGATGCAGATGTGCATACTTGTTGTAGATTTTTGAATCATGAAACTGATTTTGATTGTTGATGAGTTAATAACTTAATTTTATTTATAACCTCAAGAAAACTGAATGAGATTGTTTGTGGGACCAAAAGTAGTTTGGCATATAAAGTTTGCCTTTCAATAGTGGTTATAAAGATGTACTAAATCTTTATATGGTTTCAGAAACTAATACACAACTAGATGCTTAATTATCCGAAAATGTATCTTTAACATCTTTCTTTGTACGTCTAGACCAAATTGCGTGCACCTCAAAAATAACTTTAACTTCCTCATTTAACCTTTAATCAAAATGAAAGACACCATTTTCAGTTGTTAGATCGATCACAAAAAATGTAACAGAATATTAGTCCTTGCACCCATGGGAGCCTATCTTATTCTCTGGTACCAAACTCGTTTACTTTTTACTGAAATCATTGATGTCAAAGTTGACTACTGCTCTCGCAACCTATCCTCTTACTGAAAATATATCTTTAACATTGATGTGCAGAAAGCAAAAAATTCTGCATAGTGTTTCTGCGACTCTGCACAATTTTTCAGTATTTTCAGCATTTTTGCATAGTGTTTGAGCATTTCGGCACAATATTCTGCACATTATTTAGGCAATTTCTGCGTTTCTGCACAGTTTTTCTGCATTTTCAACATTTTTGCACAGCGTTTCAGCATTTCTGCACATCATTTAGGCAATTTCTGCGTTTCTGCATAGCTGTGTTTTCTACATTTCTGCACAACATTTTTGGATTTCTGCACAGTGTTCTGCATTTTCACAAAGAGTTTTGGCAATTTCTGCGTTTCTGCACAACATTTCAGCATTTTTTGCACAATATTTCTGCATTTCTGTGCTGCATTTCTTGAGTTTCTGCATTTTTGCACAGAAGTTCTGTATTTCTTCAGTATTTTAGCATTTCTGCATAACGTTTCTGCAGTGTTTTTATGTTTCTGCATAGTATTTCTGTGTTTTCTGCATTTCGGCACACTAGTGAGCACCCTCCACTAGTGTTGAAGTATATACTGGGTTGTTGTTGTTATTTTTTATTTGCTAAGTTTTAAAATGTTTTTGTCAATTAATTTTTTTTTAAGTTGTCATCTTGGTTCTTTGATCAATGTTCAGTGATATTTTATTTTCATCATAAATTTAGGTTGTTGGTTCTGCAATTTCATCCTCTTCAAGAAGAGACACACGTTGGCAAATTTTATTTAAGAGTGCAAAATAGAGAAATACACTTTACAAGGTTGGTTAAGTAATACCTGAGATACCAGAAGTTCAGTTCCTCCAATTGATTGAGTATTGGAGGGATTCAGATGTTCAAGTGAGATTAAATTGTGCATTTCTACTCTTGAACATATTGTTGCATTATTTTTTTTCCACTTTTTGATTTATTAATTGGTAAACTTCTTTTTGTGCTAGGCCATGTGCAAATTAAATTCTGGAAATAGAAAAAACAAAAGTGGAGGCATCGGATAGGACCTATTAATTTTGCAAGAGTACGCGTGGCATTGATAATATTTATTCGATACTTTGTGAAAAATATGGTTTTCATTTCTTTACATACTTTTTTGAATACATTGATATTTGTTATTTATTAGCGTGCAAGTAAAGAGAACAACGAGGAACCATCTAAGTCTGAAATGTTTATTGTAACTCGTACAAAACAGGGGAAGAAAGTTCATGAAGATGCTCAAATTGCAACAGTAAGCGATGTTGCAACTAATATATTATCTGGGATTTAGATTCTTTATATGGTTCTCATAATTATTTTTTTGGCAGTCTGAACTTCAGAACCGTCAAAACTCTGGGGAAACATCGGATGAAGCATTTAGGGCAGTGTTTGGGAAGGAGCAGCCTGGCCGAATACGATGCTATGGTAGATCAGTGACAACAAGCTCTGTGAAAAAAGATGAGGAAATCAATAAGCTCCAACAAAAGCATAACAATGAAGCCTCTACTTCGAAAGCAGAAATGCAAGAAATGAGAGAACAAATGCAAGAATTGAGGCAGATGCGTCATTGCTTTAATTTACTGGTGAAAAACAATCCTGAACTATTTAGTTCAGATATACAAGGATTTGTCGGATCTAACCAACCTTCTCCAGTTGATGCAAGTAGCGCACAAGCTGTAAGGAGCCAAAATCTCCCACATTCTTCTGGATCAACCCATGGTCCAATTCTTGAAAAGATATTTAGACTCATACCTGACAAATATTTCATCCCTTGACATATAACATACCGATTGATTTAATAAAGCTATTAATCAAAGTTAGTGATAATCATAGATGTTGTGGAACAATTCAGATTTTATTTAGTTTCAAAGTGGAGATAAATTGATAGTATACATTGTGAGCACGTGATTTTTGTTTACACGACAATTACTCTAAAAGAAATCAAAAATAATAACAAATGGTCTTGCTGTACAATTTTTGGAATTTACGTGGCATTTTTGGTAGTTATTTGTGGTTTTGTCTGTGATTATTTAGTCTTATCAAACAAAAATATAAAAAATATATGTCGTGTGTAAGTTTAGGATATCGTTCTACTATTAGAAATTAATCAAACCATAATTCGGTTATTAAATATGCATCTTTTATTCTATTTGTTGTCATGGAGTGATTTTATTTTAATTAAATGTTAATGTGTGTGATAATTGTTTGTTTAATATTTGTATAGTTTTATTTTACAATTTAGTTGG